TCTTTTATTGCACATTTATGGTTATGTCAGTAGGATTAATTTCTAGACATTAAATTACTGAGTTAAAAAATATGCACATTTTAAAATACTTTGATACATATTGCCAAAGTCCCTCCAGAGAGGTTACTGTCCCCTTAGAAAAGGAAGAGTATCTGTTTCCTGCCCCGTTAATTTTTTCTTACTCTTTATCAAGTTGGTAAGTGGGAAATAACATCTCCTTACTGTTTTAATTTGCCTTTGATTACTAATCAGTTTGAATGTTTACAGGTCTATAAAGGTCTTTTGGTCATTTTCATTTCTCCTTTTGTGACTTTCCTTTTCATGTCCTTTGCCCATTTTTCCATTGGGATGTTTTTCTTTTTCTAGTTAATTTATAAAAACTTATTAGCTACCGAGGATATGAACGTATTTAAATAATTATCACAAATATTTTTCCTAATTTGTCATTTGCCTTTTTTGTGTGTGTTACAGAACTTTTTTGTCATGTGGCAAATTGATCTTGTGACGTTCTGTTTAGATTTGGGGGTTGAAAGGATTATGTAAATTATATAACCTTCCTAATTTTTCTACTAGCACCTTTATAATTGTGTTTTTACAAATAAATCTTTAATCCACTTAGATTTAGTGTTTAACATGAGGAAGCACTCTAAATTTAGTCTCCAAATGGCTAGTGTCTTGTTCCCAAGCATTTATTTCCCCACTAATTTGAAATGTCACCTTTATTAAGTTTTAATTCTCATATATGCCCAGGTCTGTTTCTGGACTCTATTTTCTCCAAGGATTTGTCTGCCTGTTTCTATTCTAGTATAACACTAATGTCATTAATGTAGATTTATCTTAAGTTTTAATATCTAAGATAAAATGCCTCCTTACTACTTAAAAAAAATTTTTTAACAAAACTTTCTGGTTCTCACAGTGTTGTTTTTTTAAATAGATAAACACAGAAATTGTGTTTGTTGACATACACAAATTAAAATTCCTTTTAGGATTTTCATTATAATTGCATTAAATTTTAAATTAATTTGGATGTAATTTGGCATTTTACAAAAATTTTGTAAAAAATATTTAAATGGGCATGTTAGCTCTGTGCTTGTTTAACGTCAACGATTTTTTTATATCACTGAGAAAAGCTTGAGATGACGCCTCTTCCACTGAGAGGCAGCCACATTCGATCTAATGAGCCCACTTTAGGTTGAGATCTGTTATCAGAAAAGAAATATTTGTAAAAGTGAGTCATATGCTGAATATAAATGGAATCAAGTGTGTGTGTATGTGCCTAATTCACATTATAAAAACCCTCCTCTATTGTGGTGTACCAGGGGAGGTTCTGCTACTGCAGACGCAGAAACCACGGCGCCGTTTTGGAGCCTGTGTGGATCACGTAGTATGGCAGCGATTGGACTGAGGTCAGAATCAGGGCCTCCTGAGTCTCTGCTTTTCTTTGGCCTCTAATTTTCTGTCTTACAGAAAGGGGAGAGGTCCCCCCAACACACATTTCATTGATGCTAAAACCAAGGCTAGGAGATTTTACTTGCAACTATCAGTAAGATCCACTCCCAATGCTGAACCCCATATCCTATCCTATGATAATAGTGAATTAACCCAATGTCTTCTTCATTCACATCTTCAAATATTACATGAGATTCTTCCAGGACTTTATCCTCCTTTCCCAGTTTTTCTTTTGATTCATATTACTTGAGGAAGATAAAGCTCTTTTTTTGAAGCCTTTGGCTTGTAGTTGGCTGTAAAAGGCATCACTTTGGAGGTCTGCTGTATGATTGCTTTACATACACAATTGCATGAACACAGCCCAAAGTATATCTTTCTAGGGAGAGGGGAGAAACAGGGATGGAGTCTTTGATAGGACCTCAGAATGTTTGACCTTCAATTTGCCATGTACTTGGTCTTTGAACCATAAGTCCCACTTGTGTCCTTACTTTCAAATCTACTTTGTGGAGTAGCTGGGCCACTGAAGGTACAAAACAGGAGTTAGCACTCCTGGGCTCTATCCTGTGCTTTGCCATTAGGTTGCAATTCTTACTTTTTTTTTTTTAATTATTTTATTGGGGTCACATTGGCTTATAACATTGTATAAATTTCAGGTGTACATTATTATATATCAGTTTCTGTATGGACTGCATCGTGTTCACCAGCAATAGTCTAGTTTTTATCCATGACCATATGTATGTGCCCCTTTACCCCTTTTGCCCTCCCCCCACCCCTTTCCCATCTGGTAACCACTAATGTATTCTCTTTATCCATGTATTTGTTTTTCTTCCACATATGAGTGAAATCTTCCACATATGAGTGTCTTTCTCTATCTGGCTTATTTCGCTTAACAGTATTCCCTCCAGGTCTATCCATGTTGTTACAAATGGCACGATTTTGTCTTTTTTTTATAGCCAAGTAGTATTCTATTGTATATATACACCACATATTCATTTATCCATTCATCTGTTGATGGGCACTTGGGTTGCTTCCACCTCTTGGCTTTTGTGAATAATGCTGTGATGAACATAAGGATGCATAAATCTCTTTGTTTTTTTTTTTGTTTTTTGTTTTTGTGAGGAAGATCAGCCCTGAGCTAACATCCATGCTAATCCTCCTCTTTTTGCTGAGGAAGACCAGCTCTGAGCTAACATCTATTACCAATCCTCCTCCTTTTTTTCCCCCAAAGCCCCAGTAGATAGTTGTATGTCATAGTTGCACATCTTTCTAGTTGCTGTATGTGCGACGTGGCCTCAGCATGGCCGGAGAAGCGGTGCGTCAGTGCGCGCTTGGGATCCGAACGCGGGCTGCCAGTAGTGGAGTACGCGCACTTAACCGCTAAGCCACGGGGGCGGCCCTGCATAAATCTCTTTGAGTTGTTGATTTCATGTTCTTTGGATGAATACCCAGTAATGGGATAGCTGGATCATGTGGTATTTCTAATTTTAATTTTTTAAGAAATCTCCATACTGTTTTCCATAGTGGCTGCACCAGTTTGCATTCCCACCAGCAATGTATGAGGTTTCCCTTTTCTCCACATCCTCTCCAACAGTTGTTATTTCTTGTCTTGTTAATTACAGCCATTCTGACAGGTGTAAGGTGATATCTCATTGTAGTTTTGATTTGCATTTCCCTAATAATTAGTGATGTTGAACATCTTTTCATGTTCATTTGTTTATTTTTTCTTTTGTTTCCCTCGCCTGAGTAGACATGATATTCGAAAAGATGCTGCTGAGACCGATGTCAAAGAGTGTACTGCCTATATTTTCTTCTAGGAGTTTTATGTTTTCACGTCTTACATTCAAGCCTTTAATCTATTTTGAGTTAATTTTTGTGTATGATGTCAGATAATGGTCTTCTTTCATTCTTTTGCATGTGGTTGTCCAGTTTTCCAAACACTATTTTTTTAAGAGACTTTTCTTACTCCATTGTACGTTCTTGGCTCCTTTGTCGAAGACTAGCTGATCAAAGATGTGTGGTTTTATTTCTGGGCTTTCAATTCTGTTCCATTGATCTGTGTATCTGTTTTTGTTCCAGTACCATGTTGTTTTGATTACTATAGCTTTGCAGTATATTTTGAAGTCAGGGATTGTGATACTTCCAACTTTGTTCTTTTTTCTCAGGATTGCTTTGGCTTTTCGGAGTCTTTTGTTGTTCCATATAAATTTTACCATTCCTTGTTCTAGTTCCATGAAGAATGTCATTGGGATTCTGATTGGGATTGTATGAATCTGTCCAAGAATTCTTTTACCAAATCATGTGACTTGGACAGTTCAGATTTCTGGAGAATATGCTAAAATGAGTCCCTGAAACTTGACCATTTACTATAAGATTCTATATCTAACAATTTTACCCTTGTGGACTCTAGTTTACCCTTTTCTTGAGCAAGTTGAACATAGAAGATAAAATTATCTTCTTGTATGATGTCACTTGGTGGAGTATCTGACATTAAGAGGTGAGGCACTTCATTGTGTAAATTGCCTTTATTTTTCTTGGAAATTACAGCACTTAGCTTTTGGCTTCCTTTTAAGTAATTTTAATGTTAATATTGTTAATATTGGTGTTTTTTCTACACATTACATCAGAGGAGGCTGACTTGCCACTTTATTTCCCAGGAGCTCTGAAAATAGAGGGAGAGGGAGGTAATCTCCTAAATGTTAATAAACTTTTACGTATAATGAGGAAGTGGACCATAGAGATGGCATTCTCAGGGAGGATGTCAACCCTATAGATCAAACCTCTGGAGCCCTAGGACTTGCCAGGGAAGCACATAGCTCCCAAACAGGCCTCCTTTTTAGGGTGAAAAAGATGTTTGCCTTCTTGAATGGATTTGATGATTTTTCAGACATTGGTCTCAGTCTTCTCTTGTCAAGCTTCTACTTAAGAATTGAGACCTGTGACAATCTCACCTCCTGCTGATGCCATCCTGATGTCCCAGGCAGAAAAGCCCGATGCCTGCTGTGTCTCCTTAGCATTGTGAACGTTCTCCAACAGGATTATCACCCTGTTGGTTGTTTTGTCAGTTCCTCCCACTGGACAGGGCAGTCACATTAACTTTTTTAATACCTGGAATCTGGAACAAGGCCTGGAACAAATTAGTAATTTTTATTTTTATTTTTATTTTTTTTGTGAGGAAGATCAGCCCTGAGCTAACATTCATGCTAATCCTCGTCTTTTTTTGCTGAGGAAGACCGGCTCTGAGCTAACATCTATTGCCAATCCTCCTCCTTTTTTTTCCCCAAAGCCCCAGTAGGTAGTTGTATGTCACAATTGCACATCCTTCTAGTTGCTGTATGTGGCACGTGGGCTCAGCCTGGCCGGAGAAGCGGTGCGTCGGTGCGCGCCCGGGATCCGACCCCGGGCTGCCAGTAGTGGAGTGCGCGCACTTAACCGCTAAGCCATGGGGCCAGTCCAGTAATTTTTAAATAAATGAGTCAGGTAGTATGTACTGAAGAAATAACAACTCTCACATATGTCCCTTTCTAAAAAAGGATTGTACATTTGCTTTCCAGTCATGTCATCAAGTCCCACTGTTGGATCTTCCAGCACATCCTCCATCCTCCCATTTTCCTCTTCAGTTTTTCCTGCTGTCAAACAGAAGAGTGCCTTTGCCCCTGTCATCAGGCCCCAAGGCTCCCCTTCGCCCGCCTGCTCCAGTGGCAATGGAAATGGATTCAGAGGTAAGTGAAGGTACCACTTTGGGAGTAAGCATGATACATATGCCACAGGGCCAGCAAAGTAAGAGCCAACTGCACAGCATCATTCTGTATCTCTAGCCATTTACCTACACCTTTGTGTACATGCTTTGGTGTTTTTATCATGGGGGATGAATGGCTTGTACAACTGGGATAGTACTCTATCCAAGAGCAAGATGGGGGAAAACAGAGAAGTCTGCAAGGTCACAGAATTAACTATGGTAGAGCCATACATACCCCCCAGGAGTGTCTGGACTCTCCAGACCATGGCTTTCCACAAGACCATGTCACTATTTCCCAGTGCCCGGCCACATCGGATGCCACATGGTAATTAATGCTTACTTAATTGGCCTGCCATCTGCAGTGCACACACATTCCCATGGCACATATGGATAGGATCCATCAGGAGCAACCAGCAAATTCTAAGAATTCTGGTTACATGCTAGTCAAATTGATAGCAGGTGCCTGATCAGGGGTGGGGTCGGGAAGAAATTTAAAAAGACATACTGTGTCTAAGAACAAAAATTAATATCACCTGTCAAACCCATTTTTGACCAATGTCCTAAAATATAATATGACATGATGTAACACAAACGTGATGAGTACATGAGAATCTAATCATCTCATGTGAATGGGAGGCAGCTGATGGCAAAAGAGCAGATTGGAAACTGCTGAACGCTGTAGATCCTGACGCCCCACATTATTTTTAGGCTGCTCATGGTGTCTTGACATAAAAACATTCATGACAAGCAGTGTTGGATGAAACCACAAAGGGCAGAGGTTCAGTTAACCCCTTGTGGATCCAAAGCCCTGAGGTCAGCAGAGCCGTGGATGAGCTGGCTGTCTCTGGGATGGCATCTGCCAAGTGGCTTTATGATTGTGCATGTGTTCCTATCCTCTGGGGACACCTGTGAGGGTTCATTCACCAGTTGTGGCTGAGCAGAGCTCTGGGAGATACATTAGGTTCCTGTCCCATCCTATCATTAGAGATGATGGTGACTCCTTGAAGTCAAGCATCTTGACAGAGAAACTGTGAAATAAGAACTGAAAACCCAGCTCTCAGAAGGGTCCCTGAAAATTCTTTTACTTCTAACTAGATAAAGCAGCTGGGTCTACATGCCACCCAACATGTGAGTAGTTGGAAACATCTGTATGTTTGAGGGAAGTTTTGTTTCTTGGTTTTCATCCAGATGCCTGATCTGTAGAAAAACAGGCTCAGCCCGAAGCTAAGTGTCTCCACCTGCCCTGTCTCTCATCAAAGACCAGTGGTTTCCATCCCATCGTTAGGGGATATGCTCAGAACTTTTTCCATGATGGCTTCATCTCCAGACTGGGAAATGAAAACAATTGCTGAATATTTACTGTAGCCTCCCTTTCCCCACGACTGAGGCTGAGAGAGTGGCTGAGCTGCACATTCTTGATGTGTCTGTCGGTTACATGAAGGCACAAGCTCTGGACTCTAGTTTCATTTCTATAGAATCACTGCAAAGTCCCGAGCCTCCTTTGGATCCTACAGTTCCCTCCGAATTTCCCTGGCGATTTGAACCTTAAGAAGGCGGGGGGGAGGGGGCCGGCCTGGTGGCATAGTGGTTAAGTTCGAATGCTCTGCTTCGGCGGCCCGGGGTGCATAGGCCCGGATCCCAGGTGCAGACCTATGCACTGCTCATCAAGCCATGCTGTGGTGACATCCTACATACAAAATAGAGTAAGATTGGCACAGGTGTTAGCTCAGGAACAATATTCCTCAAGCAAAAAGAGAAAGATGGCAATGGATGTTAGCTCAGGGCCAATCTTCCTCACCAAGAAAAAAAGAAGGAGGAGGAAAAGGAGAAGAGAAGCACTTAAATTAGGATTGTAGATTTAAAAATATTACAAAGAACTATGAAAATGTAAGGTAATGAGTGGAGAAATAAAAGAATTCTGAGGAGAACCTCAAAGAGTATCTACCATTGGAAGAACACTAGACTTGACTTCCCCAGACGTATGCTAGAGTCCTAGCTCAGCTCCTTCCAGGCTGTGTGAATCTGTTCAAGTCAGTACCATCTGAGAGCCTGAGTTTCAACAGGAAAAGCGATGGCTATCTCTAAAGGTCATTGTGAAGTAATTTGTATGAAGAACTAGGGAAGGTAAAGGTTATTTCATACAGCTGGCAAAGAGAAGGCTGGGGTTGACATAGGATACCTTCTGAGGCCTTGACTCCCGCTCTTCCCCATTTTGTACCAGGTGAGTAGAAGCTCAAGGCCCAACCTGACAAGGTGTCCCATTGATGCAGAGAGGGAAAAAACCAAGCTGACACTGAACGCACTACCCACAGTCACTGAGTGAAGGAATCCTGGGATTGTAGGGGCTGATAAGCAGGAAGCTCCATCTCTTTAGAGACAAAGAGTGAGAGAGTGACAATGTGGTCTGAGGTGCTTGGGTGATCAGAGGCCGATGGAGAGGTTTTTCTCTCAACTCGTTGTAAGGTGAGATGCTCTTGATCATGTGCAGAGGGCATGTGCAACCAACACTCTCTAGACTTGCTAACCGTTATTGAGCACCACATGCAAGATGCTGAACCAAGCACTTTACATGAATTATCTTGTTTAAGCCTCACATGTGACCCAAAGGGGAAGGTCATACGTTATCACCATTTTAAGTTATGTAGCTTGCCCAAAGCCACACAGCAAGTGACTGATGACTTGAACTCAGACATTTTGACTCCAGAGCATATACTCTGACAGCCTGCTGTCTCTCCAGGGACAAGAATAGTACAATTCCTCTCCTCCCCCTTCACCCATACATACTTTCCACCAGGACCAAAGGGGGATGGTTGCTTTCCCATGAAATGCCCACGGTAAAAAGAAATTGGACAAAGTGCACGTAGGCATTCTCCCCTCCCTCCAGTGAAAATGCTTACTTTTTCTCCAGTAAACTTCTGCTTTCTGTCTGTTGCCTATGGTTTCTACAAGCAAAAAGTCAGGGTCACCACGTAGCAGAGATCCAGCCACCCAGTGCCGATGTGAGACTAGGAAGAAGGAGAACGTGTGCGGTCTGTCGTTCTTCCAGCATGCGGTGGATCTTGTTCTTCGAGTGGCTCTGCCATTTTAGGAAGCCCCTTGAGTAACTCTCTGAGGACCCAGAAAAAGGAAGAAGAGGCTGAGGAGTTTCAAGTGTAATAGACAAGTGAAAGTTGAAGATGTGAGCCAGACTCTTACTGCCAGAGAGCTCGTGGGCAGTGTTCATTGTCCCACCTCCTACCTCATTTATCAGGCATTTACACTTGATGAGTATAGATTGTCAAGATCATATTATGCACTATGTGCCTGATTCATTTTCCAGCCCCCTCTAGGAAAAAAACTAAAATAAAAAACCTCCTACACTCTGGAATAATTACGAGCGTTGCTAGATCTCCAAATCATCAGGGAGTGTCCAGAATTGAACTGCCTTTATTGAAAAGTTACATCGATTCAATATATAGGAATACAGGCAAAAATAATTAAGGCTTTGCTAGCTGTGTAAGACCTCAATCCAGATCTCACAAACATTCAATAAAGGCTGTGTGGGCTGGGAAAGAGACTGCTGTCAATTTTGCCCAAGAAGACTAGCTGTCACAGAGGGGAAGGGGAGGAGGGAGGGGGAGAGAGAGAGAGATGGAGAGAGAGAGAGATGTGTTGGGGCAGCAGGAAGAATTTTGGCCATTTGCTTATAAGCTTAGTAAGTCCCACTCAGCAAAATGCTTCTATGATATTTGATAAGCCCTAGATGAGATACAGACAATAAAACTCAAAGGCTCAAATTCTAGATATGGCTTGAAGTTTTGATGCGAGGAAACTATTCTGCCAGTTTTTAAGAATATGAAAATTCTCTAGGTTCATCACCTGAAGGCCAATTCCAGAGGCGTGCATTCTGCTGTGTGATTTTTCCACAGTATGATGATCCCTGCTTTATTTCCCATATCAAGGGGAAGCCTTGGATCTGATGCCCCCGAGACAGGCATTGTCCGTATCCTTTTGACTAGATGAAGGAGACGCTGAACACTGCCCTTGGATAGGGGATGAGGAGTGGAGATTGGGGTGACTCCCAAATTAGGAACTGAATTAAGTCTTCTGTTCCAGTAGATCAGCATCCGTTAGTGAATGAGCATCACATATCAGCAGTGAGCACCAAAAGAAAATGAGCTAGTCAGGAAAAAAAACAAGCTTATCAAATTTCAGCTAGAATGGATGGAAACCTAGGATGGACAGATAGTCCCATTTGTTATAAATGTTATAAATGGACTATAACTGAGTTATAGTAAATAACTCAGTAGTCTCAGCACCTGGAATTCTCTTTCCTGTTCCAACTAAGTGATATGGAACTACATAATCTAGAAATTATTTTAGTCTGATAATGAAAAATATATCATGTATATTACAATTTAGTTTACACATTTATGTCTATTTTGTCATGAATACAATCCATTAATATCAAACAAAACAAAACAAAACAGAACTGTTGGCCTCCCAAGCAAAACTTCAACAAGCTTTGTTTATATTTCAGTGATTCAGTAAGGCTTCAGTTCCTCTGATAGGCTGTCCGCTAGACCAGACCCAACCTAGAGAAATGGGTTCCCATATCAGCTGAGGGTACCGTCTCCCTGGATTGTACCAGACTCTGTCAGTCGTATCCCCTGCCCCTCTCTCTGGGTTATAGACTTTAATGTAAAAAGTCTCTGAGTCTCATTCCTGTGTCACTCCTTCCTTGCAGCCATGACCGGACTTGTCGTGCCCCCGATGTAAAGAAGAGGAAGAATTGCTTTCTTATAGCACAAAACTACTTACTCTGATGGACCAATAATGAAGAAAGCACTATAAGCTCTTTGGGGAGACTTGTACCCCAAAATGAACATGATGGACAGATTTGGGTATGCAAGGAGCTTACCTGCTCTCATGTTTCTCGTGTAGCTCTGATGGGGCTACACAAACTGACCCTCTTGGGGACAAGGACAAAAGATGTCATTGACATAGTCAGTGCAAAGAGCAGAAATGCAATTCTTTGTTATGAACATTATGAGAACCACCTTCCTATGTTTGTAAAATATTTAAGAAAAAAAATTGGCAAACAATTCACGCTTAATATTTTGGATACTATTTGTTTTTCTTTGTAGGAAAAAAAGTTGAAAGTTTCTATTTTCTATGAAGCCTTTCAGATACCAATTTAGTTTATGCAGAAAAAAAATTGAACAAAACAGGGTACCAGCATGGAAGACTTTCTTAAAACGAAACCTGAATTGAATGATGAAATGTTGTTGTATGTGTGTTTGCTTATAGTATAACCTCTTTAAAAAACAAAACAAAACAAAACAAAAAAAAAGGGAAAAATTTTAAAATGTTTTACAATTATTTAAATAAATAAACGTGTAACTTATTGTAAGTAGAGGTAGAAATTAAGACCTTTTTGGAAGAGAGGAATTTCTCTTCCTGATGTAAAATGAAAATGATGCAAACATGTAGTAACAAGTTTAAAAGGTGTGTGATTATTACTGCAGTTACTTACTAGACTCTTATCCCCCATCCTGCATCCCCCTCTTTTTCCGTCATTTTACTGACCCACACCCAAGAACATGTACCTTATGTAGATTCCTAGAGAACACCCCCATACAAAAACCAAGATTCAAGTCCATGCACATACACAAATACTCAAGCCCATCAATTCATTCCCAGCTCCGTCTGTATTTTTAATTTATATTAGCTTTCAATTCTCCCCTGAGCAGTGCAGAGAATCCCTATGTTATAGTGCATACCCAGCTTTGTATCCCAGGGAAAGACATGTCTCAGCTTAAAGAAGAGCCAAAGCCATGTGACTTTCCCAACCAAGTGGCCCCTTTGGAATTCTTCCTTGACAGAGGCACACGCTCCCCCCTCTGTGGTTACCTGGTCCAGCACAGAGGTCTAAGCCCCACAGAACTTCAGAAACAGGCTTTGAAGAAGAAGACTCTGTTTCTTGAACTCTTAAGTGTCACTCTTAGAATGTCCATGTCCTTTCTTCTCTCTGCAGATTTCCCCTTTCATGGCATTAAACTCTTGAAAAAAATATGTATCCAGTTTCCAGGCAAGAATGGGATGGGGTGTGGAAGAGGAATATTAAAAGCCCTAAATCCCTCTCCTGATGTTCAAAGAAATGGAAACCCAGATTCTTAGCAGCATCAGAGATTAGGGGCATCTGTGTTCCAAGCAGCACAGTTACCCAGGCCTGCAGGGGGCCTCTCCGCAGTTCTGGAACTAGCTCTTACGGGGAGAAACCTCACAGGAGCTGCTAACAGTGGCTGGGTCTTGAAAGCCTGTGTGATCCTGGAGATGTATCCAGACTTATTTGGATTGCCAATAAGGATGTCATTTTTTTTTTCAGGTCAGGGTTCTCCTTGTTCACTCATTGGCACCACAGTATAGTCTATACACAGACTTTGGTTTGGGGTTTCTGGTTGGGGTTCTAACATTAGAAATTGATGCAGCTCTCATGGGAAAAGATCTTTAGTGCATCTGAGCCAATTTTAGATGACGTCATAAATTCTGCCTCCCTTCCGTTTGCCTGTTGATATATGCCCACACCTATTCAACCCACAACAGTCTTATTTGCCTTTAATCTATTCTGGAATTACCCAATATGACCCAAATGTTATTTCTATGCACATGAGAATCCAAGGTTTTGGAAACCTGGCATGCTTATAATTATTGCTGACAGTCCTCATAGTCAGGGCTTAAAGCATCAAAACACAGGGAAACACACAAGAGAAAGTTCCCTGGTGAAAAATCAGATGAGAGAGGAAGAGTGTGTGAAATACAAACATTACCACCCAAAAGTGAAGGCAGAACAAAATTAAGCATGTTTAGACCTGGATTTGAGCCAATCCAACATAAGGAAATGTTTTTTTTTAAGTAGCGTTGCTTTTAGAATCTGTGAATTTTGCTCTTGCATGAAGATGAGTGCAGTACTGTCTTCAAAACGATTGTAGAATTTGTTGGTAGCTTTACACCGAAAAATGTGTGTAACTAAATACCAGACATCCTTGACCATTCAGCTAGAACCTTGGCAGCAACAGATCTATTTGATTGTACAAATGTGTGTAAGGATTATTTTTAGTGTACCAATAAATTAAAAACAAAGCTACTCTGTCCTCTTTGGTCATTGCTGTTGAATCATTTCAGTCCCAGGTTATTTTTGTGCCACTTGGAAGATGAGTATTTCTATAGGTAATTACAAATTCTATCCTATCTTTGTAAGAGGAGCTGTGTAAGATTTTTCATTTAAAGGGACAATTTACTTCATTATTTATCTCATTTTTTATTATAGCATTGTATTTTTTTCCCAATTTTTCTTTGCACATTTCAATATGCATGGTTTAAAAACCATTATCTTCTCTACCTTTTGTACAGTAAGGTCTCATTTTCAAACTGTATAGTTTCATTTTATTGTTTTGCATTGTCAGTTATATACAGTATAAAGTTGCTATGCACAGAGCTTTTTGTAAAGACAGCTTTTTGTTTACTGTTTTTAATGGTCTTATGAAAGAATATCTTGTTTGTAAAATGAATATGTCTACTTCAGTTTTAAACTTTAAATTATCCTAACAAAAAAATAAAATTTTTGTACTGTAAAAATGATTGGAACTTTGCCTTTTTTTTTTTTTTTTTAGTGGAAAAAATTTGGTTAGGGATTTGTTCTTAAGTTTGGGGATTTTTTTCATAAGTGCTAGTCCCTGAGCTCTGGTTGAGGAAATCTTACTACAGCTTTTGCTTACATAGAAAGTGTGCTGAGGTGCTCACTTCAAGGAGCGAATATGTATGAATTTAGGTCACTTTTCAGTATGTATTTATATATCCATCTGGTCAAATTTCTTCATAAAAACTCAAAGGACCCTACTTCCTAGGCTGGACTTTGGCTATATGGAATTCTTGAGGTCAGTGGGTAGTCTACTTAGATTTAAAACTGTGTTGAATAAATGTTATAACTGACCCATCAGACGCTGGGTAAAGAATTGGAGGCTGGACACATTCTTAAATCCTATTCCTATTCTTAAATCACAGGAAAAGAGCAAGACATATGCCCCTGCAAGGAAATAATCCATAGAAAATGGCTCGTACAGGAAGAGAGAAGGGCTTTGGAGCTCAGAGATGATGGCAATCACAGAGGGTTGGAGTGGTCAGAGAAGGTTCCATGAGGGAGGCATGGCTGGACAGGGCCTTCAAAGAATGGTAGGAATTTCGCAGTAGAGGTTGGTAGTAAGCACTGCAGATGGGAAGGCCATCAGGAACAAAGATGGTAAAGGGAAATTCACAAAGTACATTTAGGAGAATGTGATCCTAAACATGATTTTCAACCAGTCTATTCACAAGCATACTCATAACTGGATTATCTCATTTCTCTCTACAAGGGTATAGATATCTTCAAACCACATAAACTCTGTTCCTTGAATAAGTGGATGAGATGCTCTTTCTAAGCACTAATCTGAGAGAGCCACTGTAGTTTTGCTTTTCTCCGTGAAGACTAGCCCTCTGCCTAGACTGCACTTCACCTTGATCTTTGCATGCCTGGTGTCTTCTCCTTCTTCAGGCCCCAGTTTAAGTATCATCTACTCAGAGAGGCCTTTGCTGATCTCTCACCAGGCAGGTTTCCCACTCATTCTCTTTAGCTGAACTCTGTTTGTGGCCTTGTCATGATTTGTATTCCTTTGTGGTCCACTTTAGACTGAAGGCTCACAAGGACGGGGACCGTGTCTGTCTCGATACTGTACGTGGAGCACAGAGCTCAGTGCCTGAGGGGCCCCACAAATACTTATTAAAAGAGTGAATGAGCAGACTGAATTCTGATCCCTAGAGGCAGCTCTGCCTTGTCATGTGGGAGAGGTAGCTGATCTGTCACAAATGATAGGAAATGGCATCACTTGAAGAATCCACTCCTTAGGGATTATCTTGTCAGTCAAATAATCAAACAAATGATAAAGTGTGTCTGTAATGTAAAGTAGCTGGTTGTCTAATAAACATAGGAAACTCAAAAGGGGAGGGAAGTGAGCCAGAAGAGACCTCTGGCTGATAGCCTGTTGGGTAGGTTGCTTTGCCCCTTGGCCCGGGAACTTATCCCATGTGGATTTTCATGATGATCAGATGTAATTCCAGAGCCAGAATCAGGGCCTTTCAGGGGAATGTACATTCCATTCCTTTTCCAGATATGACACTTGACTTGTTGACCTCACACTTGAATCTCAAAGAGCACAATAAGGTGCATTCGCCAAACTGCAAGAAGTTAAGAGTGGCTGTGGGGCACTGAATGTGAAAGAGTGATGCGATTTGAAACTTTGAGAATTAGGCAGGGGCTATATCTTGACTTTTTCACCCTGCCAGAGAGTTTATTTTTATTTTTATATTTTTTAATTTTTTGTTTATTGCAGTAACATTGGTCTATAACATTGTATAAATTTCAGGTGTACATCATTATACTTCCATTTCTGCATAGATTACATCATGTTCACCACCCAAATACTAATTACA